CCCCACGGGCCCGGCGCCATGAGTGAGCTGGAGCAACTGAGACAGGAGGCCGAGCAGCTCCGGAACCAGATCCGGGTGAGGGCTTGGTCTCCGGAGGTGGAGCGGGCTGGGTGTGTGTGCCGGGCGGGGCTCTGCTGGGTGGGGGAGGTGGGGGAAGGTACCCTGAATGCAATGCCTCACTCACCACCCCCCGCCCCCCGTTGGCCTGCCTCCTTTCTGCCTGCCTGCCCACCCCCACCCTGTCTTGCTTTCGTCCGGTTCCTAGTCTAGGGGGCCTCCCTGACCCCATCCTTGGCCTCTTTCCCACAGGATGCCCGGAAAGCATGTGGGGATTCCACACTGACCCAGGTGAGAGCAGTCCAGGTTGTGAGCTGGGGTTCAGGGAGGGAGCGAGGATTGGGGGCCTCTCCCTGAGCCTTCTGCCTCTGCCTCCAGATCACAGCTGGGCTGGACCCAGTGGGGAGAATCCAAATGCGGACCCGGAGGACCCTCCGTGGGCACCTGGCAAAAATCTACGCCATGCACTGGGGGACAGACTCAAGGTGTGTGTATATGTGTGCGCGCACGTGCACGCGTGCACGCTCGCACATAGCGTTTGTGGGCTGACTTTAGAGCCAGTCGCCAGAGGACAGGAGGGAGGAAGAGTGGGCAGCCTCCTGGATCTGGAGAAAGACCCAGGATGCCAGAGTGCTCCGTGGAAGACCTTGACTCCCCAACAGCCCCGTGGGGTCTGGGTAACCAGGGCCGCCCAAGCTGCTGCTGCGAGCTGTCTCAGATTGATGTGTGCCCCAGGGGTGTGGTGGACTTCCTGCCTGCAGAGGAGGGCGTTTGTTCGGGGGCCCTGAGCGCCTTGCTCTCTCCCACAGGCTGCTGGTCAGCGCCTCCCAGGACGGGAAGCTCATCATCTGGGACAGTTACACCACCAACAAGGTAGAGGCGGCCCGGAAGTCGGATGAGGCCGGACTGCAGGGCCTCGGCTGGCTCTAACTTGGCATCGCCCCTCCTCTCTAGGTCCATGCCATCCCACTGCGCTCCTCCTGGGTCATGACCTGTGCCTACGCACCCTCAGGGAACTTTGTGGCCTGTGGGGGGTTGGACAACATCTGCTCCATCTACAGCCTCAAGACCCGTGAGGGAAATGTCAGGGTCAGCCGGGAGCTGCCTGGCCATACTGGTAAGCGGGGCGTGGCAGGGTGTGGGCCCTCCTGCAGTGGACAGGCGTGGCACGGCCCTTCCCATCAGGGGACTGGCTGACCAGCCTCTTCCCCTCCCAGGGTACCTGTCATGCTGTCGGTTTCTGGATGACAACCAAATCATCACCAGCTCCGGGGATACCACCTGGTGAGGTCTTGCTGGGTATCTGGGCCTCCTGCAGCCACTAGCCTCCCTCTCCTGAGGGTCCCCTCTCCCCACATCAGGCTCTGGCCTGGGGCCAGAACAGGCTTCTCTGGAGGCTTCTAACATGACAGAGGGTGGGGCAGAGGGGAGGGAGCCAGAGAACCTGTTGTGCAGATCATGTGACTCCGCCCTTCTGCTTGTCACCTCCACAGTGCCCTGTGGGACATTGAGACAGGCCAGCAGACGGTGGGCTTTGCAGGACACAGTGGGGACGTGATGTCCCTGTCATTGGCCCCCGATGGCCGCACCTTTGTGTCAGGTGCCTGCGATGCTTCCATCAAGCTGTGGGACGTGCGGGACTCAATGTGCCGACAGACCTTCATCGGCCATGAATCCGACATCAATGCCGTGGCTGTGAGTGCCAGGACCAGGGCTGGGCGGGCCCCTCTCCCTGCCGACTACCTGGGCCGCTTCTGTACCCCTGCCTCACGCTGGGTCCCGTGTCCCCGCAGTTCTTCCCCAACGGCTACGCCTTCACCACCGGCTCTGACGACGCTACGTGCCGCCTTTTTGACCTGAGAGCCGACCAGGAGCTGCTCATGTATTCCCACGACAACATCATCTGTGGCATCACCTCCGTTGCCTTCTCTCGAAGCGGCCGGCTGCTGCTTGCTGGCTATGACGATTTCAACTGCAACATTTGGGACGCCATGAAGGGTGACCGTGCAGGTGAGGGCTGGGAGGGGCTGGGGCTGGGGGGCAGGGGCGGTGAGAGCGAGACAGGGCCCAGACACCAGGCCAGGTCCTCGCTGATGTGCCCCTCCCTTACAGGTGTCCTTGCTGGCCACGACAACCGCGTGAGCTGCCTCGGGGTCACCGATGATGGCATGGCTGTGGCCACAGGCTCCTGGGACTCCTTCCTCAAGATCTGGAACTAAGCGTTCCAACCCCAGCTGGTCCCAGGCCGGGAGGGCCCTGCCCATGCCCACACTACAGGCCGGGAGCTTTGGGGCTGGGTGCGCCAAGCATCCCTCCCCAGCGGGCCATGGGCCCGTGGGTCCCTGATCCCCCACACCCAGGTTTGGTTCCTCCCGGGGGGTGGGGGGGCCCTGCTGTGGAGATAAAGATGGGGATAGAATGGGGGTATAGAAGGGGCAGAAACCCTTCCTTTTGCTGCCCTGGGGTTGGGGTCTCCCTCTCCCAACCGCCCCCCGCCAGGAGGCAGGAGGTGGGAACTCCAGGGGCTGGCTTTTTTAAAACTGGTTTTATTTTAATTTTTATTATATTTTCAGTTTTTCCATAAAGGAACCAATTCCAACTCTGCCTGATGTCCACCTTGCTTGTGTCTTAGTCCCTTGGGTTTCTGCTGCCTGAGGTTTGGGGTTATTCTGGGGAGGAGGCTCCTCCTGATAGGCTCCTCCTCACATGCAGCCGTTCTGTTCTCTTACACCCCAAGTCCCCGCCCTCTGCTGGAGGCAGCTGTCCTCACAGCTGGCCCTCCCACCCTCACCACAGGCAGATGCCACCCCGCTAACCCAGATCACTGCAGGACCTCCTGGGTGCCCGGCCCTCCCAGCACTGCCTGAGGCAGGCGTGTCCTCATACACCCAGCACTCCCACCACACCACAGGCAGACGTTCCACCACCCAGCCACCATGCTCAGTCCTAGCTCCCACCCCCCTAGGAAGACGGCCTTCACATACCAAGCCCCGACCCTCACAGTACACAAGCTGTTCTATGTACCCAGTCTCCCCAATGTCCCCTGGACAGATGTTCTCCCTACTAGCCCCCATGCCAGCTGAACACAGCCCCGCCCTAAAAGCAGAGCCCCTCGGGGAGCCTAGCCCTCCAAGCGCCACTGTTACGGCCTTCAGGTCCCAGCCTGCAGCAGGCTCGCCCACCCACCTCAGAGCCCCTTTCCCTAAATCAAAACAGCAGAGGCATAAAGGGGGAACACACACCAAGTTTTATTGGGGGATGGGTATTTACAGGGGCAAGGAAAAGATGGGAAGTCACACAGAGGAGGGGGGAGGGAGGGAGATCCTGGGGACAAGGGGATATGGAAGAGGCCCTGCATCAACTCCAGCCTTGAGGAGGGCTGGGGAGCAGCTAGGGCCCGAAAGACTGGGATTGGAAAGGATGGTGATGGAGCCCGTGCCCACCCCCTGGGGCTGGGGGGCTCAGGGGCTTGTAAACATTGACCACTCTCAGAAGGGGATGGGGGTCGGTGAGGGCTCCCCCTACAATTCCTCACAGGGTTAAGGCCTCTCCAGGCTCAAGGGCCCCCAAAGTTCAAAGTCTCTTCAGCTGAGGGGAAGGAAGAGACAGGAAGAGTTTCGTGCCCCTCCCCCTGCATTGGCTGCGGCAGGGGTGGGGGGATTACATTCAGTCACAACAGTAGTCCCCCCACTCCCCAAATGCCACCAAACACTGGTGAGAGGAAAGGGGGAGCTGGGGGGCCAGCAGCAGCGAGACATTCCCCCCCTGGCCCATCACCCCCTTATTGCTTTAGAGAGAATATTGTCTTTTCACGGACTCGAACACTGTTGAAACCGGGGAGCAGCAGGCGGAGGGCGCCCTTCTACCTCCAAGGCCAGCCTGACCCAACACTGACCCAGGTGCCACTTTGGTGCAAAAAAAAAAAAAAAAGTCTCTGGGGATGAAGGAGGAAGGAATCTACCGGGGAGTTGCCACTGGCCGTGTCCCCAGGGCTGGGAGGAGAAATACATTCATGGAGGAGAGGCAGTGGCAGGGGTTTGCCCGCCATAATACTGCGCTCCGAGCAATGAGGTCGATGGGAGAAGTTAGAGAAACCAAAACCATTTAAAAAGTACGCGCGCGCACACCCACAAAACAACAGATGGAGACAAACCAGGTAGGTGATTCAGAATAAGTCAGTCAGAAATAGGAAGGGCAGCTCCTCCTGACTTAGGAGACCCACACTTCTATTCTCGACCCCCAACCTCACGTAACATTAAAAAACCAGTGGAGGGCAGGGGTCACTGACTCCTCCCATTTGGTCGATGGAGGGGGTGGTCTGAGCAGAGCTGGGTGGGTGGTCCATGTTCCACACAGCAGGCAGCAGAGGTGAAGGGGGGGACAACTCCTTTTCCACCCCTCCCTCCAACCCGAGCTGCCCCTCCCTCACTCCTCTCGGCCCCCAGCTTGCCCCTTCCGAGGAGCACCAGCTCAGTCCGTGAAGTGGTGCCCCTCTGGTTCCTGGAGGGAGCGAGGCAGAGGCTGGTGGCCCAGAGAATACATTCATGTGGCAAGGCAGGGAGCTGGTGCGATCAGCCTCACACCCAGGCCCTTCCCCCAAATGGCAGTGGTGGGGGAAGCCCTCCCCAGAGCTAGAGGCAAAAGTTCTGCCGCCCACGGCCAGATGAGGTTGGCACTGGCCTGGCCTTTCCCATCTACCCGGCAGCCAGTGCAGGGCAGTCACCTGGGGATCGGAGGCAGCTCATCCAATTTGTGCAACTTTCCCCAACGCAGTGAAGCCAAGGGAGCCTCTGGGTCCTGCCCTGCACACCTCAGCCGGTCACCACCCCAGGGGCGCCCTTCACAGCGGGTCCGGCAGGCGGGGCTCCCAGGGGGCCTCGCTGTGCAAACTGCTGGCCCCCCAGCTTCCAGTTACCCCAGTGGCCCGCCTTAAAGGGGCAGGGAGGGTAAGTGCAGCCTGGGGGGTGGGGCGGGAGGGGGCAGGTAGGACAGATCCATGGGGCCTGTGTCCCCACTGTCCCAAATGAACAGTGTGTCATTTCTTTTCCGTATCCTTCCCCACCCACCCCCAGCCATTCTTTTTCTTTTTTTCCTTTTTTTCTTAAAAAAACAAAAAACAAAAAAACAAAACAAAAAATCCTCTGTCGGCCTTCCACTGTCACTCCCACTGCCCCTGGACGTGGGGGAGGGGTGCTTAGAGTTTAGTTCTTAGTTTTTATTGTCTTTCCTAACGTTTTCTTCAATGTTGTTAAAAAACAAAAAAAACAAAACAAGAAACAAGAACAAGAACCCCTCCCCCCAATCTGTAAAGTGCCTCGTGGTGGGTGAGTTAAGGTGCATTGTGTGGTTTGTAACAAGTGCTGGGGACCCTGCCCCCGCTTCTCCTATGCTCCCTGTGGGGAGGCCTGCAGGCTGCGGACCCGAGGAGGGTCCAGGCTGCTGCCGCTCGCTGGCCCTGGCCGACAGCCCCGGGGGCTGGTCAGTAGTCATCCAAGCTCTCGATCTCACCGGAAGGTCCGTGCAGGGAGTAGCCTGGAGCCAGGAGGAGGCTGGGTTGGCGCTCTGTCCCCCAGGCTTCTCGGGCTCTCCTGCCCCGGCCCAGCCCTGAACTCACCCAAGATGCTGGGGTCTGAGTGCAGCATCAGGGCCCGCCGCTTGGCCTTGCTGCCCTCCCCAGGGCCGAGTTTGGTGCTGTGGTTGGTCTGAAAAGCTGTCTGCAGGGAGGCACTGCTCAGCCAAGCCTCCTGCAGGGTGGCAAAGAGGGTGAGTCAAGGGACTGCCAAGAGTGCAGTCAAGGTGTGGGGCACCTCCCTGCTCTCTCACTGGCCAGACCCAGCCAGGCCTTACCTGCTGCTGCTGCTGCTGCCTGGCTTTCTGCTTGGCCCTCCGTTCCAGGAACTGTTTGGCAAATTCTTTGGCTTCCAGCGTGTCCCCCAGGCAGGAACGGATAAAGTCATGGACGTCATAGGGAGATTCTACCTCCTTGAGGATCGCTACGGCCATGGGTACTACAGGGCGGTACGGAGCAGTCAGGATCCACCTGGCCCAGGTTTCGGACCCCAGGACAGTTCCCCTGTCCCCGTACCGTCCAGGCTGCCGGCGGAGCTCAGCGTGTGCAGCATCTGTTCGCACCACTGGGTGAGGCCGTCCTGGGGCCTGGGGATGCCCTGCAGCAGCTTCAGCAACTTCTCCTCCTCCTCTGTCTTCTTGCGCACGGGCCGACCGGACAGGTGACTGTAGGAATCGCTGGGAAGAGGCAGACATAGCAGATTCACTGGGAGTCCCGCTGCCTCTAGGCCACCGCCTCCCCGAACTCCCCCACCCCAGCCAGGCTGCGGCGCCCACCTGAGAGACGGGCTGCTCCGGCTGTTCTTCAAGCCAAGGCTGCGGGTCAGGCTGCCTCCAGTCTTGACTGCATCCTCCCAGAGCCCCAGGCCGCCAGCACTGCTGCCCCCACTCTTGTCAGGACCGCCCCACAGGGGCCCAGTCTCCGCTACCCACTGGGACAGGGGGGCAGCACCCAGGCCCCCAAGCTGCCACAAAGAGCAGGAAGTCAGGGTGGTCCAAACCAGGAAACCCGAGTGCACACACGAGGCAGGGAGGTTTGTGCAGGGGGCAAAGGGTGGGTGAGGCAGGAGCAAAGAAACCTTCAAAGCCAGAGGAGCCAGGTCCTGGGCCCTCCCCCAGCCCCACCCCCATCAACACAGGGTGGACTGGACTGGGTTCCCAAGGGTCCCAGGGGTTCGGTTCCTTGGGGGAAGGGCCAGCCTGCTTACCAGGCGGTGGTTTGGGGCCTGGGACCGCGTGGACTCTCGAGGCGGGGGCTGCTTGTGCAGCTGCCGCTCGCTCTCCAACTGCAGCTCGAGCAGCGTCTTCATGGAGAGGCCCTGCTTAGCCAGGCTGGCCCAGAGCGGGGGTGGGGAGCTGGGCGCAGGAGGCACAGGGCCAGGTGCGGCTGCTTGCTGCTGCTGCTGCAGCAACTTCAGCAGCAGCTCCTGTTGCCGCGCCTGAACCGGAGAGGCAGGTGAGTGCGGCTGGCCTGGCCCCGTAGACAACCCAAAAGCTTGGCTGCCCCTCTTCCCCACACCTGCTTGCGGCGAAACAGCTCTTCCTCCTCTTGCCTCCGCTTCTGCTCCTGCTGCTGCTGCTGCTGGCGACGCTTCTCCTCTCTGCGCTTCCGCTCCTCCACCTCCCGGCGCTCCTGGAACTGACACTGTCCTGGAGGTTAGCTTGGAGGGGGGGGGGGGGGGGGGGGGGAAGCCTGCACCCTGCCCTCAACACCCAGGGACCCCAGCCCCAGGGTACCCACTCACTTTATGTTGCAGCTGGAGTTGTTCAAGAATTGGACCCTGAGTTGAAGAGTTCATTGGTATGTCCCAAAGACTGGCCTCACCACCTGCAGGAGCCAAGGGGCGTTCAGGAGCTCCGCCCTTGCAGGCTGACAGTGGTCTGGGGCACCCTACCCACAGCCTGGGGGCGGCTGCCTGGGGACACCCGGTGACAGGTGGAGCACTGGGAACTCAAGACAGCCCCTCCTGTTGGCTGGGCCAGGGGCGGGATGGGGGAGCTGGAGGCTGGTGGGCAGCTGGTGGGCCTCGAACCTGACTGTGATGAGGCTGAGGTATGTACGTCCCAGAGGGGGCTCGAATCTGGCACCGACAAGGACCGGTTCATCGTCGGGAGCAGGTTCTGGTCCCCACCTCTGCAGGACAAATCACTGGGGTTCAGCCCCATCACCCCGCTCCAGAGCGTGTGTGCAGGTACACCCACACCCAGCCACGTTCTGGGGGACGCCGATAGGCCGGGCTCGCACGGCCCACAGACCTGGGGGGTTTGAGAGCCTGGAGCTGCTGCAGGAACGCTGTGAGCTGCTGCTGCTGCTGCGGCGGCAGGTCTCCCAGAGCTGCCTTTTCCCGGAGCGTACATGGCGGGAGTGGGCGGCTGCAAGGGCACAGCGGGGGGCTAGTGACCCCCACAAGCCAGGACCCTGCCTCCTGGCCAGCCCCTCGGAGCTCCCCGTACCTGCCGACCAGCTGAAGGAACTGCTGTTGCTGCAGCTGCTGGTACAAGGCAGCAGCCGCCAGCTCCTGCTGCTTCTTCAGCCGCTCCTGGTCCATGTTTCCCTGCGGGAGGGAGCGCAGTCCCAGGGCACGTGGCAGGCCTCCTGGGGTCTGGATGCTTGTCCTTGTCCTGCTCCATACCCCCTGTCGCCGTCCCTGCCCGCCCCATCTTCCTCCCGTGCTTACCAGCAGTGGGGGCGGTGAGGGTCCTGGGGCAAAGGGCACACGGCCCCACATCTTGATCACCTCACCCAGGGGCTGGAAGCCCTCGTCACAGCCCCGCTTCACGAGCAGTGACATCGAGAAGTAGCCAGCCTGGAACCACTCGGCCATCTCCTGGGTCGTGAAGGGGCCTGGACCAAGGGAGAGGGCAGAGAGCCAAGGCTGGGGCCAGGCCACCAACCAAGAGCCGCCTAAGAATGGCCACCGTGCTCCCACCTGGCCTCCTGCCCCAGTACCTTGGATCTCCCCCTGTGGGTCTTTGTAAAACCACTTTCGGGCAGCGCCGTGGCTAAGGGGCAGCGCGGTGGCGGCCGCTGAGTGTCGCAGGCCCTGGGCTTGCATGGCGGCTGTGAACTGCTCCTCCTCCAAGGAGCTGTCCTGTAGGGAGGCGACCAGCTTCTCTGCCTCCTGGGAGCCAGGAGAGAGAAGTCAGGCCAGAAGGGGCCAGGTAGTCAGCTCAGGGTTATAGAAGGGGAAAAAGCTTGGATTTGGGATAGGACAGAAATGGAGGACATGGGGGTACCATGGGGATCTTTGAGCCCTCCTCCCACCACCACACCTGCTGCAGGTGTTTCAAGCCTTCGTCATCCTCCAGATCTCCAGGTGGCCCTGGGGGGGAGCCCACGCCGTGGCTCAGCTGCATGCCCCGCATATCATCTCCTACGAGTGTAGAGAGGAAGGTGGGGATGGGGGCAAGACCATCCCCTGCCCACTCTTAGGCTCCAACCACTTCCAGCCAACTAAAGCGCCCACGTGGCTCCTCCCCACAGGGTGGGGGTTACTTTGTGCACCCTGGTGCACATTGATGCCCAGCCCTGCTGGCTGTCTACCTTTGGTGGCTGGCAGATCCTCCACAGGGTCACCGCCATCTCCATTTGTTCCCCACAGGGGGCCCAGGGTCGGCAGGGGGGACGGGGAGCTGGGCGACTTTTCCTGAAGAGGCAGTAGGCCCAGTTCCTTCCCACCTGAAAGAAACACAGCAGCTTTCACCACCGAAGAGGCGTCAGGCTCTCAGGACAGCGGTGCACTAAGCCCCTCCACACAGGGCCACAGCTTGGGCCGCTGGACAGGGGTCTATCGGATGCCCTTATAGCTTTGGTCAGTTCCACCAGCACCCAGACTCTGCCCAAGCTGAGCCGCACTCTTCACTAGTCAGGACAAGGGAGGCATGTGGCTGTCACCATCCATGGCTGGCCGCACAGGGCGTCCGTGAATGACGGGCTCTTTAAGGGGTCCTCAGAGATCATGGGACTAGACGGGACTTTTGGCTGACATGTCGCCTTTGAGGACAGAGCTCTGTTGCTCTGGGATGCAGTCCCTGCTTTCCTCTCCCACCTCGAGATCCTAGAGGCAGGGGACACTACTCCGAGTGAGCTGCCTGCTCTCACCCTGCAACTTACCTGCTGCCTCGGGCCCCTCTTCGTCCAGCCCCTCTGAAGGTTCGCCGTCCTCATCCTCCAGCCCCTGGAAGTCCAGCTCCTGCTCCTCAGGGATTGGCTCCTTGGGGCCCTTCTGTGTGGGGTTGGGGCACAGGTTGGGGAGGTAAGGGTGCAGAAGGAACGAGAGGCCTGGAGCTTTAAGAACTGCCCCCTGGTCCGTGAACAGCTACCTTGAGAGGCAGGAAGGCCCCCGTGGCATCAAAGGTACCCATCTCTTCATCCTCGTCATCCAAACACCACTCCGGGAGCCCGTCCTTGTCGTCCTCAAAGCCGTCGGGCCCACGGCCTCTCCGGAGGTGAGAGCCGCCTCCCCCAGCTCGGCCCTCCTCTTCACCGCACCCACCTCGATCCCCACGCAAATCAAAGTCAAACTTGCGGCGCCGCTCCCCGTGTTCCCGCCAGCCAGCAGATCGGGGCCCACCATCTGGGCAGGACAAGCGGGAAGAGGAGAATCAATACCCCAGGCAGGCCAGAGCCTCCTCCCCTCTGCTGCCCACCAGGACACCACTAGGCCCTACCACCATCTCTGGGACTACTTATGGACCACCTCTCCTCTGGGCCAAGGGAACCTGCACAGGCTGGATCTCACGCAACCCCTCACACGCTCCTGTCTCACCAGGGCTGGCCGAGCGCCAGCGATCACCATCTCGCCGGGGGCCTGCCCCGAGTCTCCAGCTGCCCTCCTCCTCCTCCTCCTGCTCCTCACGGAGAGAGCGCCAGTTCTCGCTGTCTGAGCGGGTGGGCTCCTTCCGAAGGCCGGCTCCACTCTCCTCAAACCCCGAGCGTGCTGGCAGCAGGAAGGGGGGTTCTATTAGCAAGATGGAAGCCACAGCCCCTAAGACTCTTGATCGACCTGGCTGGCAAATGGAGGGGCCAGCTCCAGGCCTCCTGTCCCTCCCTTGTAAACACAGCTCCCTAGTGGGGCCAGCCAGGCTGCCTCCTGACTGCGGAGCTCTGCACAGCACCCTCCTGCCCTCCATACCTGCGTCCCGCCTGGCCGACTTCTCAAACCTCCGCTCGCCTCTGCAGGAATAAAGGGTTGGGGTCAGAGCAGTCCAGGCCCCCACGGGGTCTCCTCTCACCCTATCTACTCTGCTACCCGAGCCCAGTGGAAGCTGGGAGGGGAGGACAGAGAGGACTGGGAAAGAGGCAGGCTGGTAAGAAGGGAACAGAGCAGGCCACACGGAGGCAGCAGGGAAAGAGAGACCACGGGGGCTTTGCTGGATGGGTCTACGCTCCCCTTTAGTGGCAGAGACCCCTGTCGTCTCCCTGTGCACCCCCACCTGTCATCCCAGCTCTGGCTGCGCTGGATCTCCCGGGGGCTCCTTCCGAAGGCCCCGTCACCTTCCTCAACGCTTCTCTGGTAGAAGCAGCTGTCACCTCGGCCACGGCCTGGGGAAGGGGTGAGGTGTGTCACAAACCAGGCACTGCCCAACGACCACATGCCCGCCCGGTCTCCAAAGCCACAGGCACTGCCGCTGCCCACGCCCGAACACCCCACTACCTCGGCTTCTGGTGCTGCCTCTCCCACGGGAGGTGCCGCTTGGCGGGGGGCCAGCCCCTTTCCCCATCAGCCTTAGCACAGCCACACTGTTCACCGACAGGGAGAAGTTTCTCTGAGGAGGGAGCCAGGAGTGGGAGTGAGGACCCAGGTACCCAGTCACTCTCTGACAACCCCCCCAAAGTCCCCCCTCAGCGCCTGTCTTCCCAGCTGCAATGCTCCTATTCCTCCCAACACCCAAGACCTGCAGGATAGCCTGCGGCCCTTCCCAGACTCCACGCACCCCAGGCCTCGGCCCAGGCCCACCTGCTCCTCCTCCGTCAGAGGCTCCAGCGCCAGCGGCTGCAGCGGCTCCTCCTGTAACACGGCAGCAAACTCCTTGTCCTGCAGCTCTTCAGGGACCTGCCACATGGGGCAAGAGCTCTGGAAACACACCCACTCCTGGGCCCTCTCAGCAGGCGAGGTGAGCCAGCCTCTTGTCCCCTCGCCCACCACACCCAAAGACCTCACCTTGTTCTCCTTCACGTAGAGGGCCAGCATCTCCTCTCGCCCATAGCGATAGTCCGCTAGCTTGTATTTGGGGATGGCTGGAGACGGGGGTGGGGAGGCCACACTGCCCCCGCTGGAAAGGGCCCTTAGCCTGGGAGAGGTGTGTGGACGGGAAAGGGTGAGGCCGAGGGGGGAGCAGCCCTCGCCCCCACGCCCACCCCACAGCCTGCTGGGCTCACCACTCAGGCCCAAAGTTGAGGGTCTCTGCTGCCATCGTGCAGCCGGTGAGTATCCTCACGGTGGGAGGGACGGGTAGAGGCAGGGGGCTGGCGTTCACTCTGATAGCTGGGGAGAAAAGGCAGGGTGGATGCTGGAGAGCAGCAGCCCAGGGATCCTCTGGGCCAGGTAGGGCCCCTCGGTGGGCACAGGGGCAGGCTGCTGACAGCGCTCACCTGAGCCCGCGGCAATTCACACCATGAGACAGCCACACAAGGAGTCAGCAGCACGGGTGAACTGGGGGCAGACAGAGAACCAGAAGCGCGTGGTCCTCGGGCTTCCAGGCAGGCACACCCCCTTCCCGCCACCAGCCCAGACTGACCTGGCCAAGCTGGCCTCTCTTCTGACACGGCGTATGCTGAGTGAGTGAGACTTCCCCAGCTCCTGGACACCAGTCTGACCTCAGGAGTGACCAGAAGGGACCTTCACATCCGAGAGCGACGAGTGACCCTGGTAGGAGGAAAGGAAGGTGGTGGTGGGATGAACGGTCAGAAGGGCCACCGTGGCCCTCCTGTGGCCACAGCCTGCCTGAAGAGGGATGGCTGGCCGGCACACACCACAGCACCCCCTCCGCCCCCTCGGCAGCAGTGAGGGCCCCTGGGGGGCGGGCAAGAAGCCGGAGGGCGGTGGTGTTGCAGGGAGCATGCCAGACGGGTCTCCCCAAAGCCGGAGACAGTGTGTGTGCAGGGCTGCCCTTAGGGCAGATGAGGGGCACACAGACACGCATGCACGCACACGGAAGCAGGAAAACAACAGGAATCACAAATACCCCAGGAGAGAGACGGCTGACCATGGAGGAGGGGCTCAGAATCATCTCCGAGTGCAACACTCTGCCTGGGGGCTACTTGGAGGTGGGAGAGCCAGCTTCTCGGCTAGGGAGAAGCCTCATCAAGGGGTGTGTGGGAAGGGCTGCTCCAGAGCCAAGGACGGGCATGACACGCAGGACATGCTCCAGGCAGGAAAGCCCGGCCCGTTTTCAGAAGCAACTACGTCATATGCCAATCACCACCCAAGCCCCGTCCCCCAAGACCAGGAGAGGTGAACAATAGTTCTACAACATAATGCCCCAGCTGTGAAGGAGACATACGGGCAAAGTGACTTTTCCTCCGGCGGCTCGAGAGGCAGCGCGGTGGGAGGCCCTCTAAGGGACAAGAGGGGCGGCGGTCAGCCAGTGGTTCATCCCTGGTGGCGTCCAGGCAGCAGGAGGGCGGAGGCTGCAGTCAGTGGCAGGGTGGGAGGCCGGAGCAGACCTCCTCCACAGCACCCATCAACTCCCAGGCCCTCGGTGACAGGGAAGGACGACTCGTGGGACAAAGGCTTCACCAGAGGCACCTCACCTGGAGTGGCAGTGGGGAGACAGACAGACTGCAGCCACTCCCTGAAGCACGGCGCCTGAAGGTAGAAGGCGGCTGTTTGGGACCAGAGAGGGCCGGGCACGCTCCCCAGCCAGGGGCCCCTCTACCACAGCCTCTGTCAGTCACTCTGGAGATGACACAGCCACCTCACAAAGCCATCCACTGGGGGGACGGCCAGCGAGAAAGCTTCCCCTGCCGAATTCAAGGAGGGTTCACAGAACACCCCAAACCCCAGCCCACGGCCACCAAGTCCACTCGGCTCTGCTCTCACCAGCCCTGCAAGTCGGCACATCTCACCGGGAGCAGACAGTCTCGACTTCCTCCTACGGGGTAGCTGCCGGGACTGAACTGGTGGCCTTGAGGTTAGCAGCCTGATGCTCACCCCAACAGTGCCACCTGGGGCCAGGCAGCCTCATCTTTCTTCCTCCGAGTGGCCAGTGGGTAGGAACCCCCGCAAGAGTAAGGGTCATTCTTTCTCTACACCACAGCCCTGCAGGCATTTGGGGCACTGACTGCGCGCTGTGTCCCCACTCCAGGAAAACCACCCAGGTTGTGTCTGACATTGCTCAGGAGAGGGAGTGCCGAGACTCTACAGAGGCCCTGGCTTCCAGAAGGCCCGCCCCGAGGACTGTGGACACTGATGGGCCCCGGTCAGGACAGGGGAGAAGGGACACTCAGGAGAACTCCCCCTCCCGCTGCCTTCACTTTCTGGCCTGGTGGACGGAGTAAGCAGAGGACAGCAGCTTCCAGAGGGTGAGGAGCACGGAAGGCCCTCAGGAGAGAAGGCAGTCATCCCCCCTGCCCCCCATGCCCGCTGCTGGGGAGACACTGGGAGCTGGAGTCTGGCTCTGGGAGCACCCAGAGAACCAGGGCAAGCACCTGGCCTTCTTCAGACTAAAGTGGCTGGGAGGCCACCCCGTAAAACCGGTGGACATCTGGCAGACATTGTTTTAGGACGTATCTGGGAGGGGGGTTGCTAACACCGAGTCTCGCTCTTGGGAAGCGAGGAAGACAAGCAGAAGTGGAGTGAGTCCCTGTTACCCGGCTCACGGAACGGCAGAACACCATCCCTGGTGAGCCTGTCCCCTGAGGAAAACCGGGCCAACGGGGAGCGGAGGGAAACCCTTGGGAAACTAGCTTCAGGCAGAGAAAGAGGGGATGCCCCCAAGTTTCTTGACTGCACGCTCTCAAAGCATGTAGAGGTCCTTTTGAGGAAACGCAGAGCAGGGCAGAGGGCGGCCAACGAGGTAGGAACGAGTCCTTTCCTAGCTGCTCCACGTCCAGGTCTTCTCACAAGGTCCCTCGGCCCTGCCTTCCACAGCTCTTGGCTCACCCACCGCTCCATCCCACTTCTAAGGGCCCCAATACACGTTCACTCGGTGCAACATGCCCCGCTCAGCTGCGAGTCAAAAGACCGACGGTTCAAACCCACCCAGTGTGTGTGTGTGTGTGAGTGGCATGGGGAAGGGGAAATGGCCCTTGACAGGGTTCTGCAGTCACTGCCCTGGCCTCTGAATGGCTGTCACTCTGCTGGAGACGACGCACACGACCCTCAGTACTCACAGGCTGGGGGCCGGGGTCCCCTCACACACACACAAGGAAGCCTGGTCTGGAGTTCAGAACTCGGGAAGAAAAGACCCCAGAGCAGGTGGTCCCGACCCACCCAGGGCCAAGAGCAAGACGTTCTCACTCCATCCCCTCCTTCACTAGCCAGTGGCTCCTGGCACCGTTATTTAAAGAAAACAAACAAGCAAGCCCCCACACTTGCTGCCTTCAAGCTGATTCCAGAGTTTCCGGGACTGTCACTCTTCACGGGAGTAGAACGTCTGCATCCCTCTCCCTCGGTGCAGCTGGTGGTCAGCAGCCCACATGTTGAACCACAAATCCCCAGCCCTTGGGGCAAGGCCAAGTTCCAGCCCCCAAGCCCAGGTGTTAACTAGCTCCTTCCTCAGGATGGAGGTGCACCACAGGGCGAGAAGAAACCCTCTGCCCAGTGGTTCCGGCACACAGCAGATCCAGCGAGCAGAGCCAAACGGCTTGCTAGGGGATACCCGGGGAGACTGCCACCTCTTTCTCCCACAGAGGAGCTGGTGTGTCCCAACTGGAGACCTTTTGGGTATCAGTGCAACACGTGACCCACTGGGCCACCACAGCTCACGGGGTAAGCACAAGCCGGTGTTCTTCCAGGATGGCCCCTGTTCTCTACTCTCCGGGCCTTTCTACTGGAGTTGTGTCCTAAAAAGCAAAAACTGAACTCCCTGCCACTGGCTCACAATGACCCAACAGGACAGGGGGCAGAACCGCCCCAGGGTTTCCAAGAGTGTGACTCTCTTATGGAAGCACAAAGCCTCTGCTTTCTCCCTAGGAACCACTGGTGATTCTGAACTGCTGACCTCAGTTAGCACTGAGTCCGTCCCCAGGGATTACTTATCCTCCTCTGAGCTCTGCACCCCAGACTTCCTTCCTTCCTATGGACCCCCGATCCCAAGCCTGGGCACTTTTTCACTTTACCTCGTTTGCTCCTTCTCGTTTGTTTTCCTGCCAGGGTTAACAACAACAACAATAAGGGATGCTACAGCTGCCCAACAGGGTCCCCTAGACTTTCCAAGGCTGGAGAAGGATCGGCCAGCAACAGTCACTGTCCCAAATGCTCAGGCACCCTTTGCGAGATGAGGACCTTTTTTCCCCCTTTTCCTTTTAACTCTCCACATCACCCCCTCTTCACGCCTTCTCATCTCTTCAATGGGACGACTCCCGCATCTCCCCTAACACCCAACCACAGGTGCCAGTCCAGTCAAACTGGGGTCCCCTCTCCATCACAATCATCCCCAAAATGATTGTCACCAGAGGAGACCCTGTGCCCTGGGGCTATGGCAAGCACAAAGCTCGGATACGCCCCCAGAGCCTCCCCATTTACATGAAAGATGACGTGCACCCACAATCTAGGAACTACAACGGGGCGCTGGGGCTGCAACGGGAACAGAAGAGATGGGAGGAGCTGCCTAGGATTGGCCTATTGGTACCCGTGGGGTCAGTCTCCTGCCAGCCTGGCCCGTTAGCTTGCCTGAGGGGCAGCCTAGAGGCGGATGAACTTGAGGGAAGTGAAGGGTATGAGATGGTGGTGCGTGGAGGCTGGTTGCAGGCAAGTGTGCATTCCGCACCTACCCTTCCTTGCCCATAGTCCTGTGTGTGTGTGGAGACCTGGCCGCTCTTGGGGA